AGAATTAAACTTTACTCTAGATGACTCTAGACTTTGCTGGCATTTGACAGGACATGTCACTATCGAGACCAAAACAGCACTCCATTTCAGTGCAAAACGACTGTACAGCAAACGCCGCTGGTTGAGAGATCCTATACCAATCAAAATGAACATAGTCCGTATCCTATGTTTCTATGCTATTCTTTGCAGCCATATCACAGTAGGTGTGAACAGATTGCTCATTTTCTACTAGTGCCTCAAATTGGCGTCTGGGAATCGGATTGCCATCCCCAAGTGCGGCCTTGTCCAAGTCTGTGCCTTCCTGGTGAAAGACCACCTCAGGGAGTTCACGTACATCCAACGGTTGGAATCCAACATTAAGTTTTGAGTCGGGTATTTCATGGATTTTCATGATGTGTCTCAAACTTGGGGCACCCCTTGGGCACGAAAGGGGTGTCCCTATTCAAAAATATTCAAAATGACGAATGCTGGATGGTTTTCAATCTCCGATTTCAAGAACCTCCCAGAACATCTCAGGGCTGTGCAAAAGTTGTTGTGATTGTCTGCGCTTGGGAGCGAAGATTGGACTATCTCCCACTGTGGGGTCCCCAGCTGTATGCTGAGAGGAACGGTTCTCAATTTCGAAAGGCCACTGGCCCCTGGCCGCTCAGCTTGGATTATCCTCTCCTAGTTGGCCAAATCAGAGGTGTGGCTTTGTGTACGTTGGGTAGCTCATCCACCAAGCAGCATAAGAGCAAGACGAGAATCGAAGGATGACGCCAGATTGTTCATGGGTGGTTGCATGAAATCACCACTTTGACCATTTTAGATATGTTAAATATATAATTATATATGTATATATAAATATGATTCTGTATGTACATACACAAAATATCATAGAATATATATCTGAATCTGTCTGCTCTCAGCCCGTGAGAATTTGCAGAATCTCCAAACCAATTTTGCAAATGCGTCACTTGAGCCGTGTTTTTTTTGGAAGTGTACAAAATGGAACTTCGTGGAGAGGCTACGGAAGCCTACGCGGACACAGCTTACCGCTACGCCGCTACGCATGGTTCCAAGAGTTCCGTTGAGTCTACCTATGCGGGTGCAGCTGCATTCATAATGGAGATAATGAGATACAGCAAACTACAACATAATCTTTATAATATAATTTATATAATTATATATCTTCATATAGTGCAGCTATATTTACTCAAATTTACTCATTTCACGAATCCTCCTGGTCAAAAGTGACCATACTTTGGGAGAGTTGCAGTCAGCGCCTGGATAGGACGAGGAAGAGCATGGCACCTTCCAACTGGATGGATGCTCTCACCTTGGAAATCGAAAGTATTCCGAAGGTTCATCTCGAAACATGAGGACCTGCTGGAGCTTTGTAGCTTTGTGGTACAACTCCTGCAATCTCCTGCAATCTCCTGCATCTAGCAGAGTCAATCATGTTTACAAAGTAAACCAGCTTTGAAATGTCTTGAAGCTCATGCAGCCGGTAATCAAATTGGTCGTCCCTATCATGAAATATGGATGAATGAATTTAATAGACAAATATTGTATGTATATATATATATATACAGTCATGTGTTGATTCATTCATTAGCTATATTATATATTATATGTATATTATGTATATGTAATTATATCAAATATATATATATATAATTATATCGTGTATATATAATATAATATAATTATGTATATGGTTGGTCGACTTCAGCGATGGCCACCTGTGCAGTGAATTCTGTCTGAGTCTGCCCACCAGCAGCGGTTCGCTTTCACCGTCCACACGTTGCAAGGCAATGACACTGTCTCCAACCTTTGCATGACATGCCCATATTTCGGCTGCCAGGACAGAATGTGCGATGTGACTCCACTGATGACACACATACAAAGATTAAAATTTATTGACTTCTGGCAAGGCATTCTTCAGTCACAAATAGAAGTACACACAGATCAAATAGGCCCTACGATGCCCTACGTACAGGCATTGTTTAGTTTTGATGATCCTCGAACTGTTTCACCTTGACATACCTTGACCCTTCATTCACCCTCATTGATATCTGACTCATTTTTGCACATGGAAATGATCAGCTCTCAAAGGATAAAGATGCTCGAAATTGATGTCTCTTCTCAACTAACGAATGTGTTCACAACACTCCGGTGTGGCGGGCCTAGTAGAATCACGAAAATTAGCTGCTAATTAGCTTGAGCACTTAAGCTCCTTGAAGCTCCTTGAGACTCCTTGAGGCTCCATGAGGCTCCTTGAGGCTCCATGAGGCTCGTGCCGCGGAAAGTGGTACTTGGTGTGACCACCTGAATGTGACAAAAAAGATGACGTATGGCATACCAAAAAGGCCTTCAAGATCCTTCAAGACAATGAGAAAACGATCGAAATCATTCGAAATCTAAATAATCCATAGCTGTGTCCTGGAAGCAGTGCCTTGAAAGTCCGTTGTTCCAACGAATAGCAAAATCTGACTCATACCAAATCGTCATCTATCCAGCAAGGATGTGTTGCAAGAGCTTTCAAGGGCACCTTGTCTCATACGCGTCAGCCTGCAACAAAAGTTGCTCTGCAAGGGCCATCACATGAGCCATGTCATCACAGCATCGGGAGAATTTCGTCATAGTCGCATCGTCTGAATATGTCATGAATGATGTTTTTTTGGACGCATCCATTGGTGCTTCATGGGAGAGGACCACACGTCCTTTACCAGGCACTGATACTTATGACATCGGTTTGTGATCCACCGAGGCCAACTAGAGATACGAGATAACTATAGTAGATCTATATTAATTAATGTAAATCGAATAGATCGTTTTGGCATGTTTTGGCACAATTACATCGTGTAGAAATAATTTATTTGACATTATTTGACTCAGATTTTGACTCAAAGACCTTTGCAAAACTCAACCAACCGACAAGTTCTTGAACGATGAATAACGATTAAACATCTGCAAAGTGGAGATGATCTGAACAAACCAAGATTGTGAAATCATGTCATACTATGTCATACTATTAGACTAATTTAGACATATTTAGACTATAGATATCAGATATGATATCAGATGAAACATCGGATCCTCTGGGCGACCAACTCTTGAGACTCAAACCCCTCCAGCTACAACGAAGTCCCAACGAAGTCCCAACGAAGTCCCAACGAAGTCCAGCCTCACCCGAGACTCGGAATGAAAGAATGGGGTTCAGATGCGCGTCCTTTGTCATTGCCAAGATGGCCTAGGAGCGCCAGGAAAGCAGCGGTAGCAAACACAACACGGCGAACACCAGTTGTCAGATGTTGTCAAGGCAGCAGTTGGATCTTGACCCCCTTTTCTTTCTGCTGAATGCAAGTGCAACAAGGCGTGAAGCAGTGAATGTGTGTTTGTTCGAACTGTTTAAACTTTGAACTTGCGGACAATCAACTTGCAAACAGGACGAAAGATTTCTGAAAGTTTGTCTCCAAGGCAGTTTGCTTAGCACTGTCATCCTCATTGTGACGGCAAGCTGGAAACATGCGACACTTCTGGCCTTTACAACTTGGAGACATGTTGAATCACTTGCAGGGCTATTGATCCAGCCAGAGAATTGTGATGTATATCTATCTCGACTGATATTGCACGCCTTTCACGTGGACTGGCCCTCTGAGAAACCGCGCCCAGTTTTCTGAGGGAATTCCTCCAATAGACATCGTCTGGCCTGGCAGCTGGAGACGGAGTACTTCAGACTCATTAAGAGAAAATATGAGAAAATATTTTGGAACCAGGGCTGATCAGCTATTCTTGCAGACTTGTTACAAAGAATCACTGCCTCCTGGCAATTTTGCTATGGTAAGCAGTGAGCACTGCATGACAACGATACAGGATATACAGGGGAAATTCTGCAGTATCATTACGCAACAAAAATGTCCACACACGCATGAAGCTAGCGTTCCACCTGTACAAAATATCTCAAAATCTTCCTGCCAAGCCATAGCTCCCCTGGCCTGGTTCAAGTACCGGGTTGCAACACGCTCTGGCATCCTTTCCAGTGTTCTTGAGGATCTTTGAGTCACTCTCAAGAAAGCAAGCATTGCCCCGATGGATGATTGGGCTTGTCAATGATCCGATGGGATACTGAAACTACATTTGCAGACAATCATATACATATATCATATATAATTATGTATATAATAATAAATATTAATATATATATATATGTGTATAATCTGCATCGATTGTAAAACTATATATATATACTACAGTATCAAGATCTGTCAATGAAGCATCTGTCCGATGCATGTTTGAAATATTCTGAAATAATGTGGATGATGACACTTCTCATTTTCATGGCAACCTCCAGCGTTTCCCTGAAAATCTGCCGAGTTCTTCAGCCTGGCTGTGATAACGAAGCTCTTCTGTCCATTCGCCTGACAACTGCAGGACTTCTTCCCTATCAAATAATTCCAAGCAGTAGATAGCAGTAGAATCCTTTGAATCCGGTGCTGCAGTGATAAATGTCATGCTGTCACATGGTACAATTCCAGATCAAGAAGTCTCAAGGAGGGGCTGAAAGATTGCAGTGCCATGATGACGTAGAGTTTCTCCCAAAATACATCACTCTCCAACGTTATCTACATGTTGACTGTTTACATATTAGAGCCACGTCATTTATCACGCCTTGCGGAATTGCTTTCTCAATTGATTGAATTCCAAATCAAAGGAATCAAAGGGACTTAGACTCTTAGACATTGCTTCCAAATGCTTCCAGAATCTCCTAAATTTCAATGAAGCCTGCCATGCTTCAACCCTTCATGGCCACTCAGCAACTCAACGCCTTCGCCTTCTCGACGGGACAGTCTCAAGGCACCCTGTTGGCAACAGATGAACTGGTGATTTGATAGAAGGACCGATTGAAGGCCTTCCAGAACTCGGCATAGAAAAAGGTCTACTGAGTCTACTAAGTCTACTGAGTCTACTGGATTGTCTCCACCTGGCAAGTGCAACATTCCCTGCTGCGTTTCTTTCTGCCCAAGCCGCTCTTGAACTGTACATGCGGACGTAAAATTCACGCTTCCATCGCCTCCCATTCTGGTCGACAACTGGAAGTCAGGTTAAACGAAGCCAAGACGAGGCCTCAAGAACACACTCACTTGATTCAACAACCTACCCACCTTAATCTGTGACTTCAGGTGACTCAATTGCAGTCAACGGTAATACCCTGGCACCGGAGGAATCGAAGACCAGGTAGATTCAAAGGCTGCAGACTGTGGGTGAACTGATGGCCGAAAGTCAAGTTCCGAAGGCAACTCGGGAACGCGAGATCCTCCAAACCTGCTTGACACAGGGGTGAACCGCGGTCACTCGTCGGCAAAACAGCGTGTTGTTACGCAAAAGGTCCCACGAAGGACACATGGATATGAATCATATGAATATATTTGGGGCAAGAGGGCGCAAGCACTCACAGCCACTCGCAAGACCTGAAACGCCACCTATCAGACGTAGCAGAAAGTTGATCCACTTGATGCATCTGTATGTGCATGTTGCATAGTGACAAGCATTGGTAGTTTCTTGGAAGCAAGAATGAGAACATACAAGCATTGTGACAAGCCATTCAGTAAATCAGTAATAAAATCATACCAACTCCGCAATCTAGCAATAGCAAATGCATGCAACCGCAATAATATCCAAAGAGATCTCATGTCCCTGCCCAGACACGCAAACTATTTTCGGACCAGACACTTTGATCAAAGCAACTACCGAAGGTCAACGATTGCAGTTCGGTCGGCAGATTGACACCCTGCAATCGCTGATTGAAGCCTTGACTTGCAGGTGACTCAAGGATTCCTCAAAACATATCAAAAAAAACATATTCTCAAGTAGTATAGTGACAATCATTCTTCAAAAGTGCTTGCATCATTGCAATCCCAGAGTCTTCCACTGTCAACATGTCTTACAATGTATCAACCATGATTTTTCCCCGCACATTGCTTCATCATGGCTTTATACAAACGGTATAAAGGCACACCTTCACAACTTTCCTCACCAGCATGGATCGTCATGTTCAATCTCACTTCAAACATCTTTAACCATGTTGCGCGTGCCAAATGTCAGGGTCTGCAAGCCATTTGGGAAGCTCCTCAGAGACCATGAATGCAATGGAGTGGAGTAGATATGCAGTTGATCCATTTAATATTTTGCTTAAAATAAAAGTGATCTAGATCTATTGTTATCTATCTGATTATCTATGCTGTTCACTTTGGGTTGTGTCAATATATCAATGTCAGTATGAAATCTACAGCTACAAAATCAAAGGCATCTGTTCCATCAAATCTATCATGTCCGGCTATAGGCACTGGAAATGGGAAGGAGTGGCTTGTTTTGAAACTTGCTCGCTGCAACCCTGACGTTTGCCCGTGCTGATCCCACATATGCTTTGACATGCTCAAATCCCTGTGCAGGGCTAGCGTTTTTAACTTTTCGAAACAAGGAACCCTAAAACCTTGAAGCCCAAAACCCTAAAACCCTCAAACCCTAAAAACCCTAAATCCCTAATTATATAAATCCTGGCGCCTAAAGTCAAAATCGCTGCGTATAGCCAGTGTTTTCGTTCATGATCTTGTGACAAGTATATGAGTGTATATGATTGCATATGATATTGTCTGGGTGTGTTATTTGGTCATGGGCGAACGTCCAGGTTGGGGCGAACTTGTTTTGATAAAAATACACAGAAATCATCTCCCCGTACCTGTAGCGGCCCTTTGCAAACCTGCATGATCTTGACAAACAAAGTCAAGGCCACTGCATGACTTACACTTACACCAGCTCTCAATATGTCTGGACTTCCGTTAGTTCCGCCAGTCAGCCTTGGGCATGGTTCAAAAGAGTTGTTCATGTTGTTCAAAGCAGTTCAAAGTTGTATGATGTTGTATGTCTGGCTGATGAAGGGGTCCAAACCATTGCATGGGGATGCATAAGACTTCTACTGGGCACAGTTGTAAACAGACCTACCTGGTTTAAGTAATTATTTCTAAGGAAAGTGCTGCAGTGTCCACATGTTTTTGGCAAAGTTTTTCTCTACGCCAAGGCTCACCGCCGCCAGGGGCTGGTCAAAGTTATGTCCAAAGGTCAGGCTTTGAAGTCCTTCAGGCAGCGTCTCGAGACCCTGATTGAAGTCGTGTCCAAACGTCAAGGCCCGTAGTTTCTTCGGCAACCGAGCATGCCTCAAACCTGAAATGGCATGAGATCAGCAAGATTCAAAACCAGGGGAATATATATAATTAAATGTAGTAGATTTGGTGGCCCTAGGCAAACAGATGTGATCATCTGATCATCTGCAAATATCCCTTGGCACGAATCAATGTTCGCAACTTAGGGGTCAGATACGACAAACAAATTCACAGGAGTTCCAAAGACATCCGAAGTCATCAGCCAAGAAACTTTGATTGAAGTCGTGCCCGAAAGTCAGCTTTGCAAGGGCCTCTGGAAAATTCACCTCATTTGCATTCTCTGTTGGCCCGATTCATTCCTCCTTACCTCTTTGCTTTTTTGGATGATTTTTTTGCCCCAGGTTGAATATGGTCCGTCGCGAAGCAAAATGAATTTTTCCTTGTCCCAACTACCAATCATGAAGGCTAGAACGGAAAAAGACCTCCACCGCATTTTTTTAATTTCCACATATAGAAGAAAACATTTTTTTCGTAGTTACTGGTTTACCTGTTTTCGGAGTTACTGCCATCATTTCCGGACCTTGTTTCATCTGAGAGGCCTGAGGCCTGTAAGAATCGGTCAGAGGCTAACAACATTTGCAGCAAATAATTTGGGCACTGTCTTTGCCAAGTCACCCGGTCCAGGCTCTGATTAAAGCTTTGGCCAAATGTCAGCGACTCAAGACCACTTGGCAGGATCACATCTTCCAAGCTCTGGTTGTAGTGAAATCCAAGGGTCAAGCTCTCCAGAGTGCTTGGAAGATTCAAGTCGACCAAGCGCTGGTTAAAATTAAAGCCAAATGTCAAATGCTGGAGTCTTCGCGGAAGATTCATGTCCTTCCTTGGTACAGATAGCAAGGACATATTCTGAAGTTAAGCTCGTCTTACAACATCATTAGGTTCTAAAACTCTTCAACAAACCAAAACCAGAAAGCAAATTCCAAAGGATGGACTTCGGAAATCGTCGGAGAGCTTCAGTATATTATTCAGATGGCCGGATGGTTTCAGGACCATCCTCTCGAGACCTTGCGGCAAATCCACGCCTCTCATGACAGAAAGCATCCCTTTGACCTCAGCTCGTCACCAGAGCCAGGCCGCAGATCCAATCATAAGACAACAAAGTAAAGGTAGCAAATCTGTCAAAACGTATTAGATAGCAATAAAATACAATAAACATCAGTAAACAATATTACGATTACGAACCAGCTTAAAAAGAGTACTAAGCCAAATTCCGCAAACGGTCAAGCTTTGCAGTCCACTGGGAAAGTCAACTCCCATCAGGCTGTGGCAAAAGCCTTCCTCAGTTTCAGCAATAGTTTGGAACGCCCGACTTTGCAAATCAACAGAATCTTCAGTCAACCATCACGTGTCAGCACGTGTCATGTATTCAATTCAAAAAGAACGAATAGTTCAAAATTAAAAAGCAAGCACAGCTCTCTGCCCCACGCAAGAAATAGTGTACTCAAACTGTGCCATGCATCTTCTAATGCAGAGTTTCGAGGCAGGGTGGGAAGTGCACTTGTCGAAGGTCTTGATTGAAGTGACTTCCGAAAATCAAGTTCTGCAGAGACTTTGGCAAAGACCTGGTTTGTTTCTCAGCAAAGAGCTTCAAAGCCAGAAGAATTCCAGTCTCCCAGAGACATGCAAGTGAAAGATTGTGAACACATACATATATAATCATACGTAGTTGTATGGACGATCTGCAAGCACAATATATCAAAAGGTATTCAAAAGTGCACTGCTGTGCGCTCCTTGGGCAGGATCAATGCAACCAAACAAGCATATAATATACTGAATACAACAATCACTTGAAGGATATTTGGCATAAGTGGAATACCAGAGTCTTCGAAGCTGTGCAAATCTCCCTTAAGTGTCTCGACTTTTCATCAATCGTCAATCTGCATGCATTTAGACACATAGTTCGTCATTGACAGGAAGCACATCTACGTGCAACATCTGTATGGCACCGGGACCCTTTCTTCCTCGAATGGCTCAAACATTTGGGGAAAGTAGACAGGTTTCAACTTTCAAGGCTTCACAGTGTCTCGGGCTTCTTTGTAATTGTCTATTGTCATCTATATATGGTCTAGATTTGCTTTGGTCTCCGAATGCGCTGTGCCCCCATTGGCACGGTGTTCTTCCGAATCTAAATGCACTTTGACTTGAGAACTACTGTGACGAAGGACATCTGGCCACCAGACCTGGACGTGCAAAAATCCAAAAGTATCAAGGCTATTCAAAGCTTACTTATTCTAAATAATAACATATGTTCTTTCATGTTCTTTCCAGTGGTTCCACTTTGTCTTATGAAAAGATGTGCAGTTCCTGGTTCGTCAGTCAGCTTGCCAGTCAAGCCCGACGGACCCTCAACAGACTGACTTCTGTTGTCTCATTCAGCAAGACCACCGACTACTGATGACCACTGTGTCTTGCCTAGGCACACGCTTTCCAGAGTCTGATTGAAACTCTGCCCAAAGCATAGGGATAGAAGGCTGTCGGGCAATTGCACATGTTCCAGGCTTTGATCGAAATCCCGCCCGAAAGACAATGATTCCAAACCTCCAAGATTCACCTAGGGGATGCAGCGTGGGCATGATCAAAGAATACAAAGACTCACAACGCCCACTGGATTTGCTCTACAAACATCTACAAACTAGTTTCTCGTCCCTGCCTTGCACCTTCGTGGAAAGAAGTTAGGGCAGTGCGGGACAATTGGCCAACAATGAACAAATTGTGCGGTCTGTCTATGTCTGTCTCACAAGCATTTCAGTGGGCTTCTTTAAGGTCCCCCAAATTTCAATAACAGCAGGGTCAAGACGGGAGAATGCCAACAAACACCAGGCAAATCATGATGAGATATGACTCATGACTTATGACAAACATCGTTTAAAGTTGTACATAATGATACATAAAGATTCATTCCAAGACACCCCGCTCAATGTCTGATTGAAGCAGCGGCCGAAGTTTAGAGTCACCAGCTTGCCAGGCAACTTCACCTGCATTGACGGATTCGGCAGACTGCAGTTTCACAAAGCAGCGTTTAGTGGTGTCGAGTGCAGGAACCCACATGCAAGCATTTCATTCATGTGCGAAAACCCCTCTCTCAGTGTGGGCCAAAAGCAGATGAGGTGAGTGAATCTGGCATTCTGCCGTTTTCGAATAGGAACCCAGGTGGAAAAGTAGAAAACGTCCAATACTTACCGCACAAACAGTCAAGAACGAGGGATCCTCAAAATGTGACTTTTGGGTTCCCAAATCTCCCAAATGGTTCCACTATGTTCCACTGGGACAGCCATCGGAATTTAGCACCCAACTTCTGTGACTCATAGAGTTCTCTGATCTTTGCCTTGTCCATGGGCTGATTGAAGCAATGTCCGAAGGTCAGCTCGTTCAGAAGCTCTGGGAGCTTCACATCGTCTAAGCTCTGGTCAAATCGAGATCCAAATGTTAAGTGCTGAAGGCCTTCAGGAAGATGGACAGCCTCAGCAGTAGTCAGCAGTCAAATCTGCGTCACTGCAAAGCTTGCGGTCTCAGTCGCTGGGGCAAACGGAAAGGTTGTGCACAGCGGAGGGAGTCTCCACTTGTGCAGTGTCAGGCTCACCTTTCGTATTTGTTTCAGGACTTCAACATCGTCCCAAACCTGGTCGGAGCTGGTACTAAAGAAAATATGACAACCAGTGTCAGTGAGTATTAAGATGTATTAAGATGTACTAAGCTAGTCCAGCAGCATCCAGCGGTTGATTGAAGCTCTCGCCAAATTTCAAGATTTCCAGGCTGGGTGGAAAGGCTGTGCCCTTCAAGCTCTGATTGAAGTCCTCAGTGTTCCATAGCTTTGAGTTGGGAACTAGAACAAACAGTGTCGAAGTTTGTTGTTGTAGAATGTTGCAGAAGTGACAGATTGAAGAGTCCTAATGCTCAGAAAAGCTAGCGTAGCAGTATAGCACAACATGGAGTCCTTCAAAATGTACACCTGTCTTGTATCAGGCTTTTGGAAACAATTGGAAACAAGTACAACAGGGCAACTTCACTGGAGAACAAGTCCCTCTACCGGCCTTCCAAAGCGCGGCCCAGGCTCGTGTCCCAAGATCAGGGTCTTCAAAGCGGGCCAGGCCACACCCTCCAGGCTGTGGTTAAAATCATTTCCCAAGGTCAGGTGCAAGAGCTGTGATGGAAGCTTCACTCGCACCTACAGTTTTCTGACAGTCCAAACCACGCCACAAATGTCACAGAAACTATATCTAGAATCTGCTACTAGCTGCTCTAGCTAGGAGCATGGCTTCCAAGACAACAAAGTGGATCTCAAAGCAATCCAAACAGCTCGAACTGAAACGTGTCGACTGATATGTCTTTTCCAACAGCTGGGGAACTGGGTAAACAGCGGAATTGAGCAATGATGAGGTCAGAACTCGTTGGCATAAAACCATGAAATCCTTCAAGTAGGTGGTGCAGTAGGTGCCAAACAATGCTCGCTGGGATACGCAGCTGACAAAGAATGTAGTTTTGAAATCCGCCCACACCGCTTTGGCGGTGAAGGCGTGCTTATTGGGGGGCAACAGCAACACTAAATGCTCAATGACATTTGTTAATATAGCAGTCGCTATATCAGCTTTAGCTGGGGGGGGGGGGGCCCAAAAACGGTTTCGCACCGAGACCAGACCCCAAAAACGGTTTCGCACCGAGACCAGAATACGGTGGTGTTTTCGACATTTTTCGAGGATTTTTGGGTGTCTGAGCGCAAGAGGGTATTGAAATGGAATTTTGGGTCATTTTGGTAGCTTTCCGGCAATGGAAAAACGGCCAAAAATGAAAAAAGCATTGTACATAGCAAGATTTTGCAGGGTTTTTGGATGCCAGAGCATTGAAAACACTGCAAAAACAAGTGTTTTGGACTGACGTTATAGCAAAAAACGTGTAAATTACCGTATGCCGTATGCTTGACTGGAAACATTACAAAAACACTGTCAAAAGCAATGTTTTGGAAGGATTTACTGCCTTTATGGCAAAAAACGTGTAAATTACCGTCTGTTTGACTGGAAACATTGGAAAAACACTGTCAAAAACAATGTTTTGGAAGGATTTCTTATATATATGTTGGAGTTGGCTACCGGCATTGGCACATGGAAAAATTGAAGAAAACACTGTAAATAGCGGTATTTTCAACGGTTGGGGAGATAAGGGAATTGGAAGCATTGTCGAACATGATGTTTTCGACCGGTTTTATGGCGACAAAAGTGTAAAGTACCGTGCTTTGAAGGAAACCATTGCAAAAACATGGAAACACATTCAAAGAACACGGGATTTGGGGACTATCTAGGCGTCGTTGTCTAGCTATTTGAAATTCCGCAGCTTGGAGAGCCTCCAAGGGAGGGAAAAGTGAAAATTCCATAGCTTGGGAAGCTGTCACGGCGGGGAAAAGTGAAAATTCCCTAGCTTGGGAAGCCCCCACGGGGGGGAAAAGTGAAAATTCCCTAGCTTGGGGAGCCCCCACGGGGGGGAAAAGTGAAAATTCCCTAGCTTGGGGAGCCCCCACGGGGGGGAAAAGTGAAAATTCCCTAGCTTGGGGAGCCCCCACGGGGGGGAAAAGTGAAAATTCCCTAACTCCCCCACGGGGGAAAACCACCCTTAGCCCCTCTCACGGACCGAAATAAACCTGCGGTGTGGGCGGCCACCCCACGCGAAGCGGGGTGAATAGCCTCCTCAAAACTACATGTTTGTTGCCTGCCACTTGCACTCAGGGTGCTTCATCAATTCTGTTCAAATTCTGGTATGGTGCTTTGACTAAATCAAAGAACCGCAAAAGTTTGCCATAGTTTATTCTAAGGAAATGATGCATGCTGCATACATGTTGTTTGGATTTGTCGCCGAGAGCGCCAGGCTTTGCGCAAAGTCATTGCCAAATGCCAATGTCTCAAGAGCAGCAGGGAATTGTACCCGCAACCTGCAGCTCTGACCAAAGCACGAAGTAAAACATGTTGGAAGTGTACCTGTGAGATTGGAAACACCAAAATCCACTTCCGGGTAATAAACTTGATGTCAACCCATATTGTACGAGATAGACAGAGCTATAGATACACATGACAAATGATTGAAATATATTAAGAGTCAATTAAGAGCATTTAAGAGCGTTTGCCTACGCGAGTTTAAACCAAGGCCAAGAAGCAAATCCTGGTTGAAGTTGTGACCAAAAGTTAAGCTCCGCAAGCCAGCCGGAAGAGTTACATGTTCCAGGCTTTGATTAAAACGAAATCCAAAGGACAAATGCTCCAGATTGTCCGGCAAATTCACCCCTTCGATGCTTTGATTGAAGCGGTTTTGAAAGGTCAATGACTGGAGGGAGCTGGGTAGGCACACGCGTTCGAGCGCATTCACCAACCTAGGTCAGCTGGGATCCTGGTCAGTTTCAACGTTTTCATAGTTAATTCATATTGATTCCATTCAAAGATTTAAGGGGCATGGGGGCAGCTATGCCTACAACGAAAACCTTGGACTCTCAAGGACACGGACAAATGTCGCAAATGTGAAATACTTCTGGGTGCGGTTCCAATCGTTGTATACTAAGCAAGCCACAATCTAGAGTAGTGCAATTTGGTCATGCCATCCAATACATCCTCAGCCCACAAGGCAAGCGTCTACTGCAGCATCATTGAAGGCTTGACCTTTTCCCTTCCTCTGATTTCTGATTGAAAAAAACAACATATCATTGGGTTGTATATGCATCCGAACCTGTGGTTCTCTCAAATCTATGTATATGTACGTCGACGTGCAGAATGAATCTCAAAGGTCACCACTTGGTATTTACCACAATGGTTGGTGTACGTGTCAAGGACCTTGAAACATAAATGTGTTCAAGTATTTTAGAGTATCTTAAATAGGGTCCGGAAGCTTTTTGGGATTTGTTTTGCAACATTTTAGAGTTCGAACCTCTCATTTTCTCTAGTATTTGCAACATTTTGGTGCTCGAACTGTTCATGTCGCTGGAACCGTTCATGTCGCATGGTATTGTGTCACTAGGGTTCATTTAGCGTTGGTTTAGGGCTGGTTTAGATTGGTGTATTTAGGTTTGGCATGGTTTCGCTTAGGGTTGGTTTATTATGGTTTATTTAGGATTGGTTCAGGATTTATTTCTGTAATGTATCTTAGGGATTGTTTAAGCTTGGGAAGCAAAAATACGGGGAAAGCAGAGAAGCAAAAAAGCAGATAAGAAGAACAGCAAAGAAGCAGAAAAGCAGAGAAGCAGAAGAACAAAAATTGGAGAAGCAGAAAAGCAGAGAAGCAAAGAAGCAGAAATCCAGGAGAAATCCCCAAAACGGGAAAAAACTAATTCCCCCAAAAAAAATAGCACTCCTTTTAAATATGAACAAACCATACCATTGAACGATAGACGAATTGACTCGCCGTCCACTTTCACTGCCTCAGGCAGCAAAACACCAAGATTCAGATGGTGCGGTATCTGGAGGCTCATCCTCCACAATGCCACGCAGGCCTTTCCAGGCTGAGCACCTTGGTGTCATTCCAGTTGACTGATCTGAAATGATCTGAATAGCTCCATTGCGCGCAGCGAGTCAGAAGGAGCTTCCAAATCAGAGTGAGCAAATTCCAATTGCAAAGGGTATGAAACGATATGAAACACCTAAATATATATATATATATCATTATATATATATATATCATTATATATCCATCAGTTCCAGACATATCCTGACATACTGATAACGCCTTTAGAACCCGTGAGGACCACATGTCAGTCACTTAAGCGCCAAACATGTCAGCTGGAAGATAGACATACTGCAGATCTGCATGGTCAGTCAGGCCCTGGGCCCGCAGGGTCTTTCCCAAAGACAGCGATGAGACCCGGTAGATCACGGAAATCACCTGGAAAAGCAACAGCTTCAGTGAAGCTATACGAAGCTATATGAATCACAATTGAATCACTAATTATGAAGCTAAAAAGATTGAAGTAACAACTACACGACAGTGACCCTATCGTAGTTGGAGAGTGTTGGAGGTACCTGCAACATTCGGCAACTGTAGGCACATTGGATAAGGAGGTAAAGAATTTAGTAAAGAATGGTAAAGATTAGATCAAATTACTGCAAGGACATGCAAGGACTCACAAAGGTATTGTGTGAAGGCGTCATTGAATTAATTATATTAATTTGCTTGTACTGGTGACCTGATCCGCACGATCCGCACCATGCCCAGGTTTCAAGTGAACACCTTGCATGTTGACTCTGTTGACCCTGAAGATCCCTGAAGTTTGCACTTAGCGAAAGCTCTGAGCTCTGCTTGACAGGAGTGCTTGTCATTGCTTTAGGCTTTGTTGATCTCGGCTGGTTTCTCCGAGAAAATCGTTTGAGATGTTGGAGTCATCAAACTTTTCCCGATGGGTTCACTTTTGAGGATGTGATTCAGGAGAAATTGTGAAAAAAACAAATCTTGCCTTGGGTAACTCTTGGAGACAATACATGTCGTCTAGTAGACATCAGATTGACATAGATTGACTATGTTCGTGGAGCTTTCGATGCAGACCGCATTCGATAAGTCACAGGGGCTAAAAACTAAAACTGATGGCACTTCCTTTGCGTCAAGACAATGGGTGATCAATGGTTACCATAACAAGTGATTCTTGGAGGACTTCATATGTGTTGCCTCCCGTGGGGCGTAGCCACCTCGAAAAGATTCTTCTTCTCTGTTTTCTCTGTACATGTCTGTACAGTACCTCCTGTGCCAATCCTGACGTCGACAAAATGCAAAACTGGACCAAATTGAACCATCCTCAGGATGTGAATAACGAAAATTCATGAAAATTCCATCCACTTGGGATCAGCAAGAGAAGGATTGACCAATTCTTGGAGGGGTCCAAATGGGTGTGGCTTTCTGCGCGTTTCTGCGGCTGAGTCACACTTGCTTGCTTTGAAGGCAATTGCTCCCGGATCTTCTTCAACAACTCGCTCCCAAGCCTTGAAGCAACACCCGACGCCAGGGAATTGTTCGGAAAATTGCGGACCGCAAAAGTTGTTCAGAAAAAAAATAGTTGGTCGCAAGCTCATGTTCTTGACATATCTTTACATCTATCTGCTTTCAAGATCTTTCAAGCAGCAATAAAACGAATGAATTGCTTGTTGCATCCAACGCAAAATCGGGGACCCACAAACCACATGATGCAAAATAAATCAAATTAAATCAAAATAAGAGCAAACAACTCGATCTTTGCCCCAGATCCCTTCCAAGAAACATGGTGTCATCGACTGTGAGAGTGAACTCATAGTGGCTCAAACCAGAGATATGCAGCTCGAGTGGTGCCATTGCAACGCAGGCTGTCACAGGTTTATCACTAATTATTCAGAGGAGTGTTTGTGGTCCAAAGAGATGTAAACTGTTCAGACATCACTGTCATGGTAATTGTTCGAGCCAAACTTCATGTTTTTGGTCACAAGCGTAGAAGAACATTCCGGAACCTTCCGAACCCATCTTTTCGTTCAAGGCATGCACAAGAAGGGACCTTGTGAGTGCAAAGGGATTTGACAGAACAGCAGTGGAGCTGGCGTTGGCCCCAAAGAAGCGTCTGATCAATTTGAAGCACTTGATGAATGAAGTTGTTGGTTTTTCAATGACCTAAATCATGACATCAATTGATATAATGATATCCTTATCAGATTTGTGATGACACGTTTTCATTCGCTTGTAGTGCAACATGTTCGACACTTCAGGTGACATCAATTTGACTACATTCCTGTCTCAATTTCTTCACACATTTGCCCGCTGATGTCTTGCTCAAGATTGTCTGCCTGCCGAAATCGAATTCGCACTTCGCCAAAGGCATCGGCATTCTTGCTCATCTGGCGGGCGTTGCAAGGGAAATGGATCCCATACTCTCCGGAGTGAAAAAATGCTGGATAAGGCGAAATTGATCACTCAGGCTCTAATGATGCGTGTGAGGGGATCGGATGGGTTGTTGTCCAAAGCTTGTCTGCAATCTATATGGAGGATGGATAGCTTTCGGCTGAAATTTAGAGCATACAGTGCAACATACACTAGACATCACCAAACATGACTCAAACAGAAGCGTGAATTCGGCTGTTGGCGAATGCCACCAAGTGGCTGATGCTATGGCAAAGGACCACCGAGTTGGGACTAACCACATTAAATCGAGCAAGACATTGCAAAACTATCTTGATCTATTGTATATGATATATGGATTTATATTGTATTTATATGATTTATCAAACATCAACCTTCAGCCTTCGATATGGTTCAATGAATTCCATGCACATCCTTGCGATGAGCTGCCTCACCCTGCAAGAAAGCACCCTTTCTTTCAAGAAGGCCGCGGACCTCAGTGCCAGAAGATCAACCAAAAGTATCAAAAACATTCAAAAACATTCAAAAACGTCATCTCGTGTAGCCAGGATTTGCCAGGTATCACTTCTCCATGTCCACTACAAGGGGCCCGAGATGGCCCCAGGCGCTTCGTTTCTTAGCTAAGTCAGGGGCTGTAGCGCCGTCCTCCAGATTGCTTTCATAGAAAAGACTGGCAGGTTGTGGCAGGTTGGAAGCGATATGTTCAGGTTACAAAAGGCCATAGGACATTCATTTCCCACGAAGACATTGATGCAAAAATTATATCTACATATATCTACGAGAAAACAACTAGAGCAAGTCGACAGCAACAATACCTTCCGAAGGACCGTTGACTCAAATAGGCTGTCATGTCACAGGCACTGGATGTTTCGGAGGCTTGAACAAGCTGTGACATGTTATGATGTCATTCCTATATACTTTGTGTATGAAGCAGCGCTGCATCGACGGCTGTCTTGATGTGTGTTTCAAAGTACAAGTATTATGAACATAGATCTGAAACCAATTCAATCGCAAAAGAAGCTATTTGCAGAAATATAAACATGTTCCATTCATTTTCCAACATGTTTCATGAGGAAGCAATCTCGAAACTCTGGTTTCAAGATGTTTCAAAATATTTTTTACTGGAACATCCATCATCATCCATAATCAATCAGACAACAGGCGTGTTCATGTTCGAAATTGCTTTCGGGGTAAAGACATCAACGAGGGGTTTCCATATTTTCCAGAGTACACTCCACCAGCCTGTACCATCCTGTACCCATTTGCCGAGTTTGATCCATCATCCCACGCCCAGAAGTTTCCAAAGGTTAAGGCGACCTGTCTTCAGCGTCAGCGAGTTGCAGGCTGAACCTCAGGGCATTGCCTTGGCCCTCTGAGAAAACCTCCCACATCCTTCCGGAGAGCCATGAATTCCATACTGCTGGATGCTCTAGGAAGATGCCCTGGAAATATATGGAAATATATGATAATAATTGATAATATATGAAAATCCTCAATGAAAAGATAAGACAAATAAGACAAGGACGAGGAAAAAGAAGAAGATGAAGAATGTGCGTAGAAAACATCTCTGATATCTCTGACTTCGACAGTTTCTGAGTGTACCTAACTCCTTCATCTCGCACTCGCTCGGAGGTTCGACTTTCCACGTCCCGATGAGATGTGTACCCTGGGCAAGTCGACTCACAGCCAGTTCCAAAGGTGTCTTTCCATGTCTTTCCATGTCTTTCCATGTCTTTCCATGTCCTTCAGCTTTTTCGGATTGACTTGTTGTGCTTTGACCCCAAGTTGCTTGCATAACCCCACCCTGTCTGTTTCTTTATAGAGCTGCCCATCCACCTGAAATCCGTTGATAATAACTCACGCGTATGAATTAATTATGAATTATGAATATCGAAACTTGGCGGGAAATGCAACTAAGATCTACTGAGTAGATGCTTCTTTGTGCTTTGACATCTTTGACAGCCAAGGGCAACAAACCACCACATGAAAAACCGTAAGAATTCGCGGATTTGTTTTTTACAGGTCGTTCTGGCAGTTGTTCAGGCTTGGCCATGCCTCTTTGGGAGCTTGCTTACCACTCCCCCGGCCTTGGCACCAGAGTGATCCAGAATGCTTCAGTACACGGAAGGCGAAGATCCCCAGCTAGAGGAAATCTGATCCCACCAACTGGCATTTACAATGCATTTACATGCATAAATCATAAATATTCATAAATCATGATAAATCTGAATGCATTTGCTTATTTGGAGCGCCCATGAAGGTAGGATAGGGGAGAATCACAAAATGCGCATATTGTATGGTGTTGAGGGTCCCAGATTCTGAAACACAACATGTAACATACCTGCATGGTCAGGTCCGTCATTAAAATGAAATTACATCATTGCAACATTGAGGAATCATCATGGAATCTGGCTCGACGTTGACTTTGACAGCTACAGCGCAATTCAGCCCAGCCAGATCTTTGCATCTGAGCACGATGGCTGGGCCAAAGCTCTAGGCTGAACGGCAACTGGTTCCGCACCTTGCAGAACAAGACCCATGGGTGCACCTCTTGAGGGAGGTATGGAAAGCCCGATGGAGGCTCTAAGGATCTATGATGACCTATTCATACTATGTGTCATCATTGAACATATCCTGTGATTCAAGATTTTACAGTTAACGGTGTGGCCCAAAAGGCTGGAAGAGGGGAAAGGAAGCATTAGTAGAAAAAATCATGGGCAAATGCGTTCCACCCAAAAGGAAAGCAAAGAAGTAAACAGAATTTGGTGTCATGAAGGGCGAAGATGGGCGAAGTGAGACTTAGAGCTCGCACCAACCACAACTCAGTCCCTCACAAGGTATCTCGGAACCTGAGCTCTCAGCGTGTCACATGTAGTGACAAATCCCATAGGGCCCATAGGGAACAAAATGATGGATGCGAACGAGCGAAACATAGATAAATATTCCCTTTCTTACGAGTGCACTCGGCATCCTCTGATGCACTGAATCAGCCAGCTTGCTTCCATCATGCGTGCAAGTATGCTGCACAACAACTTATTCCGAATTTGTCGTCACGTATGCCAGCAACATCCACGTGCCCCAACATCTCTTCTCTCATCAAAACTCAAGTGCTCCTGCTTGTGTTGTGCCCCAAATCTGGCTGTTTCAAATGTAGCACCAATCTTTCATATGGAAGTAACATGTGAGATATAGCTGGGCATGCTAGGCACCCTGGTCAACAAACGGAATGCGGATGTTCAATGTGAACGCTGCATCACAAATTACCACCTAATGACCTCAACCTGTTGCCAAACACCGCGCAATTTGACTTTGTTCAAGTTCTTTCTTTCTGTGTCGCTTCCCTTTTTTCTCCGGATCCATCAAACAATGTACACCTTGATTTTCACACGTCTCGGCCATCTCACATTTCCTTGAAGTGCATGACCAAAACCTACCCACTGGCAGTCTATACGGCCCGACAAGCATCATCGTTTCCAGTGACACCAACCTGCTGAACATTGCTGAACACATCTGAACAGATCTGAACACCATTCAGCCAAGACACCACCGTCACCAGCTTGGTGCGTTCGAAGGGTGCCGGCAAACCAGCCACAGAAACACCTGTCACAGCGGAAGAGGGCACAAACAGCAACGGTTGTCGTGGGTGCGAGATACCGGAGCTGGAGAGAAACTGTTCCCTAGACGGTACTGGCTTGCTACAGAAACGTATTTGATCACAAGATATCACAAGTGTCATTCTGATGTGATTCTGATGTGCTCACAGGAAACTGGAGGCGCGACTGCTTCTCAGTGGCGTTGACATTACGCTGCCACTTCGATGTTTCGCTTCAGCTTGGTGCAAAGATTAAGAAAACCATGACTACGCTTCAATTAATCAAGCCACCGTGCAGTTTGTTGAGACTGAGATGCCACACCCACTTCAGTGGCTGTCGAAGTGTATTTAGACAGAATGCCTGATGGATCCAAGAACAGGCGGGACAGGACCATCATTCTCTGTAATTACATATTAATAATTATTAATACATATTATATATACATTGCTTATACATAAATCTCAACACTATAGACAGAGTGGTCATTTCATCCCAGTCCGAAGGTCTAATATATGGCGGATTTTAAAGATGTACGTTAGCCGTTAGCCATGCATGTCCATGGGCTACCTCCATTGACTTAGTGCATAGGTCGAACATTCTTGAAATTTCTTGAATGAAGACAGCCAAGACATAGGTAGGACTCACCTGTCTCCAGCATGCCTCCGGTGGGCAACTCTGCAACACCCGTGCTGCCGAGGATGCCAACACTTAACCTGAGCCCGGAAGGAGAATGATTAAAGAGTCATGGAGAGACCAGAAGCAACTTTCTTGAAGTGGAGATGGACATTCCATGACATTCCTTGAGTCACCCATCATGTATGTATGCTTCACAGAACTTCTAGCCAACAACCA